CTCTCCGCAGATCCGGCTGCCCCCCGAGGTCAACCGGATCCTGTACATCAGGAACCTGCCCTACAAGATCACGGCGGAGGAGATGTACGACATCTTCGGGAAGTACGGGCCCATCCGGCAGATCAGGGTGTAAGTGCCCGCGCGCCGGGAAAGCCGCGCTGGTGGCCTGTGCTGCAGCGTGCCCGGGTTGGCCTGTTCGCAGCGATTTGCAGCTGGAGGTGGAAAAGTTCAGCGCTTTATTGGGGGCCCCAGAGACCAAAGCTGTCCATGTGGCTTTTCTGTTATGCGCTATGGTTTTAGACAAGAAGATGGCCCTTAAACAAGTGAAAAAGCTAAAGCAAGGGAAAAGGTGAAAATTTGCTCCCATAGGAACCGTAGGATGAACCAGGAATGTCTTATAGCTACTAAACAACTTCATAAGGATAAGAGACTCCTGCGTAAGCACCACCTTAGCCTGCAAAGCAAAGGTAGAGGTTGAGCAGAGCCAATTTTCCCTTTCTGTTTTGTAAGTGCTAGATGCCAACCTAATTAAAAATAAATAACCATTTCTGCTGTTTCTGAAGCTGTTCCCCACGAAGTAAAATAGGAAGTGTTTAGTGCTCTCAGTTATTAAGGATTTAATCTCCATGTGAGGAAGAACTTTCGTGTGAGGGTGACAGAGCCCTGGCACAGGCTGCCCGGAGAGGCTGTGGAGTCTCCTTCTCTGGAGATCTTCCAAACCCGCCTGGATGCCACCCTGTGCCACGTGCTCTGGGTGTCCCTGCTAGAGCAGGGGGTTGGACTAGATGATCTCTAGAGGTCCCTTCCAACCTCAGCCATTCTGGGATTCTGTGAATCTGAGCTCTGATGTTCTCTGAGTTTTTTGGTTTATTTTGAGGCAGAAAGAGTTTGCTGAGGCTGCAATTTTGGAAAAGCTGCTGAGAACGGTAGAAAGATTGGTTGGAGTGACTGATACCAGTGCACTGATACCAAACGTTTTAGTTGTTTTCACCACGCGGGACGTAAATACGGGCTCAGTTAAGCAGGCCAAGCTTTACGGTTCCAAATAGAGAGGCTTCTTTTAGTCAGAGCTGTCAAAATTGAAAAGTAGTTATTCAGTGTGTAGAACAAAGGTGTCTTAATTATATAGTTGCTTTCAGCAAACAAATAGAACAGAGAGAGAAATAAGCTCTTTATATAATACTGTTCTGGAATGTGTAGCTGATTAAGTCTTGCCTTCCATAGCAAAGAGCAACTAAAGTGATGGGGGAAGTGGCTGAAGGGACAAGGGGCTCTCACTAAGAGAACTCACATTAACTAGGAGTCAGTGTGAGTATTAGAGGGATGGTCCATCAGGTGAGATTTGCTGGAATCTGCTTTCTCAGGGAAACTCCTGGCAGCCTCTCAGCTAACTGGGTAAAACTGGGTAAAATCATTCATTTGAGCTTTTTTTTTTTTTTTTTAATGATTTTGGTCACTTCTTTGCTTGATTCTCAGTCTATCCTAATTCTCCTCCACAGCCCGGTGTGGGCTTGTGCCGTGTTGTCTGTCCTCAGGAGCTCTCTCCTTATAACCTACGTAGTGAGTACCTGAGAGCAGTGTTCTGATAACCAGCTTTCCTGTAACTATCTTCACTTTTTGCTGAGATCTGAGTGATTTTGTCAGCTCTGCGACCTTTCCAGGGCAGTTAGGATTTTGTGCTTGGAGATGTCTCATATTCCTCAGGCAAAGGAAGCTGAATTGATGGCCTGGTAGGTGACACTGCTACATCCCAAGCGCTGCTGCACCAGTGTGGCTGGTGTGTGAATGTGTTAAATTAACTTGTGATGTGCAAAAAGCACCATTCCTAGGACAGCTTGTGCTGCTGATCTAGGGAACTGCTGTCTAGGGAATGATTAACCACTTAATTACTGTTAAAACAATTTGCTAATGGCAACAGTTTCCAGTGCTCTCTGTGGAGCGATGGGCTGTCCTTGGAGTACCATCCGGTGTGGGGCCCTGTTAGGTTTTGATGCAATTTTTGACTCTAAATTGTAGAGGAAGATCATTTTGGAAAGCAGGGGTACATTTCAGTACCTAGAAGAAATACTTAAAAATAATGTTTTTCCAAGACAGACTAGTTGATCTAACCTGTCATTGCTCAATACTAATAGCGGTGCTTTGTATTTGTGTTGCTTAATATTAAACCTGACGCTGCTGTGCAGTGGGAACACTCCTGAAACGAGAGGAACAGCGTATGTTGTCTATGAAGACATCTTTGATGCCAAAAATGCTTGTGATCACCTGTCAGGATTCAACGTGTGCAACAGATACCTTGTCGTTTTGTACTATAACGCAAACAGGGTAAGCACTCTTATTTTAATTCTTTTTTTTTTTGAGATACCTGTGCACCTATTTTAACATAAACAACTTTCCTTTCAGTCTGAAAAGGCAGATGCTCAGATAATTTTTAAGAAATAAATCCAGACTGGTAGGGGAAGGGGCTGGTTAGAGATTTCACTTTTGACTGTTTGATTGATGTTCAAAAAATACATTGGGACTGAGGATATGAAAAATGTGCTTCTGGTGAGTACTTGGAGGAGGAGGTAGCGGGGACCTAAAAGCTTAACAGTTGCAACACCAAGATTTCTTGTGTGATTATGGGTGTGAGATCTTGTTTAAAAGTAGAAAATCCTCAAAGTTCTTGACACTTTTCTGGCACTGATAATATCCAGTGCACTGTGGCATTCTCCAAGGTTGAGAATTAAGCAGCACTGCTTGTAGGAAATAATGATTAGTTCATTAGGATGAAGTACAGTTCCTGGGAAATAGTATGTACTGAGATTGTTTTATTCTTAATTACAGGCATTCCAGAAGATGGATACAAAGAAGAAAGAAGAACAGCTTAAGCTTCTCAAAGAAAAATATGGAATTAATACAGACCCACCAAAATAAACTGATGTTTCTCTGGAAAAAAAATATTTCTTTGAAAAAACTGTTTTTAAACCTTGCTGTTGTGTTCTTGAACTAAGCATAGGGACTCTCACTCAAGTCTAAATTTTCTTGTTTTATTGCTCTGAGTCTTTCTAGCAGGACCCTACAAAATGGGACCAAGTATGTTGAGTGATTCTGGCCTTCTGAAATTATCACATTTCTGTAGTTAATATGAAGAGTTAGTTCAAAGGGCCGTGCATGAACTGTCTCCATAAAGGTGAATTTCACTTGCCACTTACGAAATATGAGATACTGCAACTAAAGAGAGTGTCTCTGACCCAGACTGGGTGATTTTTGGTTTTATTATTTGAAAAATAATCATGGTTTGGTAATTCATTGTACCTGTAGTACTGCACTGAGGTTACTGTGGCGTTCTGCCTCTGGAAGTGTTTGAAGGAGCTTAACTCTGTAGATTGATTTTTAGGCCACTTCTTACTAAAAACAGCACCCAAATCCATATTAATACAATTTCTTTTGCAAGTTACAGAAAATGAATGGTCTCTTAAAATAACAGCTCAGGTGACTTGTTCCCGGGGACTGGGATGGAATAGCTGTAGTGAAATAATTTTGCCCAAATAGTGCTTATCTGTAGGACTGATTTCATGTCATAAGTGATTTTTATTACGTTCATCAGATTTGTGCTGAAGTTAATAGAAGCAATAGGAATAAACTTCATGTCATTGAATATAGAGAACATTGAGCCAAAGCAAGGCAGTAGATGATAATTGTAATTTTGGATACCGTAAGGTGATTGTTTTCTACACTTTTTTTTTTCCTGAACTTTAAGTATTTTATGTACATGGCTTTTAGATGCGCCCTCTCCTGGTGGGAAGATTTAAAACCTTAGGCTTTTTCCTAAAAATACCAGCAGTCCCATCTGGTGAATAGCAACGGGTGTGATGCTGAGGATGCCAGGCCAGGGTGCTCAAAAGGAAGCTCTGCCTCTGTCCTGAACCAGGCAGGAGTTGTGTGATTTATAGGTGCCCTGTGTCTGGGAACAGCTTGTTACCTTGGATTTGATGTTGAACTTGTGTCTGCACAACTTCCAGCCAGTGCAGGACCTCAGCAGATATTATATATTTTGCTTTAGGAGTTGTGATTTCAGTTAAAATGTTTTCAGTGCAGTATGGTGTCATAACAAAGTACTGCCAGTTTTTATCCTTTTTCTTTGCAGAAAATGTTATTTCAAACATGTTGTTCTTGCATTCATTTAATATGAGAATAAATTAGCTTACGTTTGTAGATTATGTGTATTACAAAAACATTTTTTGGGGGATAGTAAAGCATCCGTCTCCACGGGGTCGGCCCTGCTTGGCTGTAGCTGTGTTTGGACAAACACCCGTTCGCTCCTGTTGTGATGATGAAGGTTGGGCAGCTCCGACCGCGGCAGGAATCTTGTCCCTGTTCTGTGGCCCCTGTGTCTGTGTCATTCCCTGCAGATTCCGGCTGCTCTCTGCAGCAGTGAGCCTGGAGCCGTCCTGCCTATCAGAAGAGAAAACTCCATGTGGAACCGTGGCGGAAGAGAGGAAGTCCGGAGGAGACGAAGGGATGAGGGAGACTTGGAAGCAGCTGGCAGCCTCGGCGTCCCTTCCCTGGGCTCTGTAAAGGCGGTTGCTGCTCTCTTGTGCCGCTCTCTGGCTCACGCAGCCATCGATGGCCTCTCCTGCCAGCTCCAGCTGTCACAAACTGGCAGCCAAGGACCTGCAGCCCGGTCCTTGTCACTGCTCTTGGGCAATAGCTGCTCCCTCCTAAGCCACCTTGGTCGTCAGGCTGCAGTCGTCAGGTTAATACCAACTTTAAGGTTCCTGGTTTAAGGTTTGACTTTAAAAGATTAAGTTTTGAGGGTGGCATTGCTGCTAGGGGAACATCCAGGGCTTTTAAATGTGACATAAATATGTACACACGTACACGAACACGCTTGCTAGGAGAGCTAGGTTGGTGCACACAAAGCTCTGGGCGTTCAGAAGGCCTCAAGCTCTAATAGGAAGCAGAGGTGCTTCCTACCATGCTGGATTGCTGCTGCCTGTAGATACTAAATAATAAATACCCATAATAACAATACTGATAATAAATTACCACAGTACTGCTCGAGTCACGTTCTGTCGGCCTCATTAAATATCTTTAAAAGCATGTGCAAATAGAGTATTCCTTCTGTCAACAGCAGAAGGTCTCTTGCTTTCATTATAGTGCCTGTTTTGATGAGAGTTTGATGCTCTTTGAAAAATATATATAAAAAGCAATTCTTTAGGGTAATAAGATTAATAAAAATTCCTTCAATGAATCCTCAAGCTCAGCAGCTTTTTGATTTCTCGGAGAGCTCAGCTGCTGCCTTTCATTAAATATTCTATTTCATACTTCTGCTCAGGGCTTTCAGGGTCCCTGTGCATGTAAAATGAAATAATAATTCCTACCTGCAAGACAGCGGGAATGGAAATGGAATGCCCGGAGGATTATTTTGATGAGGTCTGCTCAAGATTTTGTTTGAAATGTAGTATCAAAGGGCAGGGAAATGAGTTCAGTTATGTGAATGGCAGAGGGGGCAGCACATAAGGCAGATGTTACCAGCCTTGTTCTCTACATCTGTGCTGGGTTTTTTTATGCGTGTTCATGTTCCATTTAATATTTCAGGAAGTAGGGCATGAAATTAAGCCTGGAAGGTCATTTTTTTCCATCTCTGCTGTTTAGAAATTAGTAACAAGAGCATATCTGATTACACAGGCGCGACAGTAAAATTTTTCCAATCCATTATATAGCGGTAATAATTATATGTACTCTGTTGATAGATGATACAATTAAATTAACACATTTGCAGGCAAATAAAGACCTGGAGATTACATTTCCTTGAAGACTTAATTTCCCCGAGCTTCACGAAGCACAGCGAGTTTTCCTTTCAGACCTTTCCTTAATGAAAGCGGCATGAAAAATACAGCGCGCTCTGCTTCCAGCCAAGGTCTCTGAAGGGTGATGGGGGAGAGAGAATTTATCCACCAGCTCCAACAGGGATTTTGCAGACTCACCAATGGCCACGTGCTGCTGAGGGCAGCGCTCCAAGCTGTGATGTGGGAGCTCGTGCTGAAACGAAGAGCAGGCTCAGGCGCAGGGAAGTGCAAAAGAGACGGTGACCTTTGAAAAGATGTTGGGAGAGTTTGTGAGCAGCGGGCAGGCCTCATTTCCTCTTGGGTAGCAGGAAAATTCCCATTTCATAGCACAAAATCGGTCTATCTTCAATAACAGACCTGTTAGTGAAACACGTAGATAAAGTGGGATCTAGTTGCTGCGGTGACCCTGGATTTTTGCCAAAAAATAATTAGGGAATAATAGTTTGTAAGAGATGGCATTATTTAATATATTAATATGTTAAAATGCTGCTTTGTGGCTAAACGAAACAACTAGAGAAAGAAGATCTGTAGTCGCAGGTGATCAGATTGCCAGTTTGGATTTTCTGTGCTCATTTCATATTTGCTTTCTAGGAGGGATCATCCCATCCCGCTGTCTCTTTGCTTGAAGCTTTACAGACTGCCTCTTCATGCTAGTTGTATTTTTTAATATATATTCCCATAAGAAAACAATCAACTTTCACATATCAATGCATCAAAAATGCAGTAGTTCAAAAACAAGTAGTTTATACTCAAATAAAAATAGCATCATGATCCCTGTATGTTCTTTTTTTCCTATAGCAGAGAGAAAAGAAAAAAAAGGGGGCTAACTCAGCTATAACCAACAGTTTAACAAGTGTGGTGTGCTAGAAATTAAGCTAAGCCAATCCAAAATGACAGCATGGAGATGAAATTGCCTACCAGATTCTGCTCTAAAACCCAGATAAATGATTTGTTATTCATCTGTCTACCTACAGAGGCATAACCAGCACTGAATAAATTCACCTAACTGTTGAATGAAGTAAATATTGCCCAGTCTCAAGTGCTATGAGCCCAGGTACAACTTAAGTTTATGAGATCTGTAAACAACCAGAAAAGGCAGCCAAAAAAAATACACTTCCAGCAGCCACCTCATTCCATATTTAGGATTTATTTTGTGGGTGGAACTTTTGTAACTTGACTTTCTTTAACTTCTCTCAGTTCAGAAATATTTACACAAGCAGAAAAACAGGAAATGGAGACACTGTAAAGTATCAAGATTTTATTGTTTTTTTTTTTATATATATATATATATACTTTTTAAATGAGACAGTATTTTTCAAAACAGCAGCAAGCAGAACGTACAAGTTGAGAAAAGTGGCAGCGCAGGTAACTCTGTTTGGCTAATGCCCTTCATGTACAAGGTGTACACTGGATTTTTTGAGCACCTTTTTGTTTTTGTTTTTTTTTTTTTCTTGGTTTAAGTGTACAGTAAGGCAGTGGTTTCTCAATAAGGAATATATATATATTTATATTTATATATATTTTCAATCATCACTGTTTTTTTTTTATTACATGCAAATTAAATAAAATGTACAACTTGAAAATGTTACAACGGTAGGTAGGCATTTTTCCTCAAAACAAAGCTTCTAAGAAAAGGCAAATACAGACACCACAAAGTTTAAAAAAAAAATGAAGAGAAAGGAGGCGGGAGGACCTAAGGGCAGGAGCTGTTGACGTGAGAGGTTGAGCGGGGAGGATCGGAATTCCAGGGAAGGCCTCTCCTACCGCTGGGAAGAGGGGATGGGAGGATCGGAATTCCAGGGAAGGCCTCTCCTACCGCTGGGAAGAGGGGATGGGCGGATGGTTGTGGTCAGGCGTCTGCGGGCGGCTCCCTCGGACGCTCACTCCAGCCTGAGGAGCTCCACGTCGAAGAGCAGGGTGGCGTTGGGAGGGATGACTCCAGGGTGGCCTGTGGCTCCGTAGGCCATCTCGGGCGTGCAGGTCAGCTTGGCCCTCTGGCCTAAGCTCATCTGGTTTCCGGATGTCGGAGAAGGGGAAAGGCGAGAGGAGAGAGAGCGTTAGGAAGAGAGCAAACACCGCGCGGCTGCGACGGGGCAGGCGCCCTCGCCAGGAAAGGGGGTTGTCAGGATTCATCTTTCAGCTCCTGAAGGAACCTGCGGGATGCTGAGCAGCCCTCGCTTAGGTCCCCGGACTCCTCTGCCGTCTCGCTGCAGAGATCTCAACGCCCAGAGCTGGTTTTGGACTCACAGGCTCCTTCCCTTGGGTGCTCAAGCTGGTCTCGATACACCACAGGCTGGTGACTAAGTATTGATCAAGAACTGAGCCCTGGTTTGGAGCACAACTTTTGCCTCTGATGTCCCTCCCAAGATCACAGCACTGAGCTACACATTACCCTATTTGTTGTGCTGATTTTTTTCCTGTTTCTATATAATATATCAAAGCTAAGGTGGGGGAAGAGGTCACCTCAGGCAGAATAAAAATGGGAATGTGCCTTTCCCACATCTGGGGAGCGTTCAGGCCATCATGGGGCCGGGACAAGGAGCAGGGGCCTCCCCACCCTGCAGGGTTTTGTGTGAGGTTGGCTGGTGCTGCCTGGTGCCTGCAAGCCAGACAGATGCTAAACCATGCACAGGTTGTAGGCGTGAGGCAATGCCGAATTGTCAGAAGTTGAGCACAGGACAGGGGATACTGAGGGTCAAGGAACCAGTGTTAGAAAAAAAAAAAAACACACAGTGGATGTAACAAATTGACCTTTCGCAAATGCCTTGTGGCAGTCATGCTCCCCAAATCATGCAAAAGCCTGAGCTGGAGACAGTCATTTGCTTAAATCTCAAGTAGAATCATCCACCAGGAGGAGCAGGAGGGTAGTTTGTTGCTAGAATGATTCCTGGAATTAATACTGGCCGCTCATTAACTGAGGGACAGGAGTCAGTGAGTGGGAGTGAGGGATACACTGATTCACCCAGTGCTTGCTCCAGCTTTATCTGCTCTGGTTTCTGACGGACTAGGATAAAACTCCGGGGTTCTGCTTAAGCCCTTAAAGACACTTTCAGGTTCCTTGTCTGTAGAGCCCGCTGCTCTTCTCTCATACCAACACGAGAATGAACATGGTACTCGCAGGACATTTGCAAACCATCTTGCTGCTCACTCTTTGCAAACTTTCGTCCCTGTCTAGTCAGGCTACAAGTTCTGTATTTCTACAGCACTTTGCAAATGGGTCCTGAACTCCTCTTGGGCACTACTGCAAGGCAGATAACAAAGAGTGAAGCCTAAGTGATTGAGAGGAAAAGGGAAACTTCAGAGAGTTTAGGATTCATCTAAAGGACTTGCTCCTTCTCTGACTGGACAGAAGGGAATGTTTGCTTTGCTTGTGCCATAGGGCTAGAAGTCAGGTTCTCTC